CTGTTCTGCAATAGTAATCCTTTCATTTATTCGGTCATGGAGATTACTGGGGATTGGTGGTAAGCGTGTGGTGCGCGGAAGGGGGAAAAGGGTTTGAATGGCGATGTCAACCATTTTGGAGAACAGATAAGAGGGGGAGGAATAGAAATTCGAAAGTTTGTTTAATTGACATTTAACTAGCAGTTACTTGTGAGTAATAATACGGGATAATTGATATTGGTTTGACCATCCTCCACTCTTCAGCTTCATGCACAACCCACAGTCCATCTAACTAAGCATACACTCTGACGCACTGGACTCGAGTATTTTCCTTAATAGAGCTTATCATTAGTGCATATCGACCACTCCATCAAGGGCTTTGCACTCCAGACCCGTCACAAGAAAGGTGTGTGTATTACCACTGTGACAACCAGCTCATACAAGGGCTGAACGAAATTATCAACTCCTGTTTGTCTAGGTATTGTTTTCAGTGATAATCAGTCACTTCACTTGTGGTTTGACAGCACCTAAAGGAGATAAAGTTGACCGGCTGTTAGTTTCATTCGAAAATCACTCAGCGAATCAGGTTTTCTGTGCATATTACTGGCTAACTGATGGCTATCTTTAATAGAATTAAAGAACTTCAGCAATTAATTTTTACGAATTCTGAGTTCATTCACAGAAGCAATCATTTTGAAAACCCTTTCAATTTTTACATTTAAATTTCTTATAAAATTTCGCAAATCGATGGTTTATTTCGACAACCCTCTTTAATTGTTTTTCACGTGCAGCCAGTTTCACAGAGATATATCATTCTGCTCCGGACATATGGTCCAAATGATCATTTTATTGTTCAGTTATGGGCCGTACTCTTGTGGTGGTAACACAAAGACGGACTTTACTCTGCAAGCTGTACACAAATTAGATGTGAATCTGGACAATAAAGATGCGTGTAGCCGATTGTTCATGATTGGTTAATGTCTTACTGCCACCGATCAAGGTCTAGCATATGAATTCTATTGGAGCATCATGAGACGAACGTAAGCAATGGTTCAGGCGCACAATCCACGGTTGTCAGAAAAGTATGGCCCGGTATGACTTTAGGGGCAGGGTGATGAAGACAAAGACGCGTACGCATACTAGCAAGGTAAACAACCAAGATATATCATGAGCATCGGTGCGTGCGTGACAGAGACACGTCTCACAACCATCTCCCCAGCACTTCAGAAAAAGATTTATAAACCCGGACTACATGGTTTGTCATCTAGCTATCGCTTTGAATCTAAAAAAGAACATGAACCGGACAGNAGCACCAACGAGGCAGACGAGACAGCATGAAATATCGATTAGATCGCTGAAATGCTAATGCGACTACCTGACTTGATACCTGGACATCTTGAAAAGATATTGGGGCAAGTTGAATTGCAAAGGACCTCCCAAATACGCCTCACTCGAAATCAGCCGATCTACTTCAGCATTCATATTCCCTGCTCAAATCAGGATATTGGCCGGATTGCCTTACGCAAGAGGTCAAGCGGATTTGGGTAAAGTTTATCTTTGACTACATTTGTGCTGCACTCCATTGAAACACGCCGAAACGAGAAATAAGTTTCATCTGTCGGGGGCGACGGGTCCTTGCTTTGCACAAATCTTTGAGTCACTTTGATTCACTATCAGCACACTGTGAACTAGGAACCAATCCAGCAGCGCAGAATTACCTGCCTTATTGAGGACCACGCCAATTCCAGCAAAACCGGAAGCCACAGGCTCGGGATCCCTAGAGAGGTGTTAGAGAATCTTCGCAGATTCTTTGGTGGGGATTTCAGACATATAATATAACTATTGTCTCAAATTAGAGTATCTTAGATACAATGCACATCGGTGTCAGCGATCTTAAGCTTAAGAAATAAACACGCTTGTTTCCGTTTACGCATCAGTTGTTGCTAGTTTGAAAGCGCATTGAGGAAGAAGGAGGGTTTCTACTGATGTAGGATTCGGGGAAATTTGGGCGGTACTCAAGATAGGACGCGAGAGAACAGCGGTAGAATTTCCATCTGACATTAGATGAAGATGTCTCTCATCTTTCAAGTTGGGATCATAAAAGCTCCGCTGCTAGTGTTGCTTTTGAGACGCCAGAGGTGTTGGCAGCACTGGCGTTCGTGTTGTCACTTCTTATTGGATCAGCATGCTTGAAAAACTACGTGTGAACATTTGTTTTGATCAATGTGTCCGCGGATCATTAAGTTTACCAAACTCATCCTGGATGAAATTGAACACGTATTTTCTGTTCTAATTATAGGTGCGTACGAATTCATCCAGGAAAACCTTTCGGGGCAGCCAGCTTATATGCTAACTGGTGGATGCCATGTGCCTCTGTAAGTTGCATCGGTAATTCGAATGCGACAAGATCAGTGCCCTCGGTGTGGCCTCGTAGCTCAACAGGTAAAGCAAGCGCTGTACAAACGCTTACGAGATGTTCAT